CCCCCTTTTCTGATGAAGGGTCTAGGCCCGAAACGTCAGCCTCTCTGCTCCTATGATGCTGCTTGGCCTGCTGTGTTCATCCAGCCCTGCACCTTGTTGTCTTAGCCAAGTTTATTTGTTGTTTTAGGGGAGGTCTTACAGCACATTGACAGTGTCCCTACTTCTGAGCCAGAAAATCTGTGTTCAAGTCCCACCTGACCTGGAGTACGTCAAAACATGCCTAAACAGGTCAATTACACTAACTATTTGGTGTTCCAGGTTACTTCAACTAATCTAGTAAAGGCAATTCAAGATTAGGACAGTGAGATTCTCAATCTGTCTGGAAATAAACATCTTGCGGTGATCAAGTAGAGCAGAATGTGGTGGGAGGTTACACAAAGTACTTATTCATCCAGCCAGTAGGCATTGAGCCTCCATGCATGCAAGGAGTCCTACTTACATATACTTCCCAATTCTTATTTCTTCAAAACTGTGCTGCTAATCTATCCAATCTAATTTTAATTCTAGTTAGATGTTTTGCACTTCAAACTCCAACTGTGGAATTCCAAACATTTGTACTTTGGGCTTCTTCTGCATTCATTTGAGATCTTGCTTTTAAATCAGTTACTTAAGGCCACAACTTTTTTTGCAGGGGGAGCGGGGAAGAAGTATTTTGAAATCCTCCACCTCAATCTTCTGTAACTTGAACACTTCTAATGCTCTGTTTGACAACTAGCACCAAGTATTCCCCATTTATTTTAGAATCAGAAAGCATCTTTAAAACCACTAATTCCAGCCTTTCTCAAGTCATGTATCCTTACTCTAGGAAAAAGGTACCAACACTGAACAAAATGTATTTTTTTTTTAAACTAAGAGGGGTATCACTACTCTGCATTTAAAAAACATGCCACCTCAAAATGTCTGACTTTTACATTTGTGGGAAATGTTATTTTAAATCAAACTATAACGCTGCCTTCTAATGATTTAGACCTGAACTCTTAAATTCCTTTGCCCACAAGTTTGAGCAAATTATCATTGAAGAAAACATTACTTTACACTTATCCAAGTACTGTTTTAAACCTATTCCCTACTACAATTGCTCCTTGCCCAGAGACTACGTAAATCTAAATCCTAATCATTGGTATGAACACAAGGGACCAACAAGATGACAAGGCATCACTACATAAAAAGTAGCCTCAACTTCTAGACATCAGTCTTCAGTTTATTAAAACCCAAATTTGCTATTTTCTGCAACATACATCTCAAAGGCTTTTTAAGAACCCACATGCTTCTACAACACCATCTCTTCGCAACCTCTTGAAAGCAGATTCAACCTCAAGAAGTAAATCTAACCATATGCTCTTTACAGAAATGGTATAGCAATCATATTTCAGTTTTAAAAGATTTTCCTACCACGTGATAATGACTGTTTTATAACAGCCACAGCTTTGAGTGTCCTCCATTGGAGGACTTGGCTTTTCGGCAAACACCCACAATCATATGTAAATACAATTCCCAAGGCTGCGGCACTTTCCTCTTTCAGCCTCCCAACATGCTTAGTTTTTTTTCTTTCAGATGAGTGCGCCAGAGTGCCAACATACACTGTTCAAGTGCTGTTAAGGATGGGCAGAGTGATTTATTAAGTCAGGGGGCAGTTAGCAGACAACCATGTCTGGGGTCCCATCTAGGCCACACTAGTTAAGTGATGGTAGATTTCTACATCCAGGTTGTTTTTTGTTCATTTTAAAAAAACATGAATATTGACAAGTAGATTAACTCAATTTAAATTCACCATCTGCAATAATTGGGTTTGAACATGCCCTGGAGCATTTGTCTGCCTTGTGAATTACTAGCTCAGTGACATAACCATCTCCATGCATTCAGTCAAATCCTGTCACCCATTGTATCTTAACTGATACAAATTTTTTGAATCCATTCTCATTATACCCTTTAATTTAGGCATTCACCTCTCCAACATTCCCACTGATAAAAAAATGTTCCTCCATAAAATGTAACTTTAGGCTTTCAGGCAATTGCTAGGTTATCTTAAATTTCAGTTTACTGCTACATAACAGGTACATTAGATTCAAGTGGGTGCAGTGGGAAGGGAGAAAGAAGATGAATATGCAATGATACCAGCGTTAAATTAGAGAGATTCAGACTTAGCAGAATTCATCTGGGTGGTAATGCCAACAAGCAGCAAAAGAATCAGTGGGTGAGGAACAACTCACTTGGTACTGGCGTATGATTTCCTCAGGCATGAGGGGACTCTAATTATGTACTTGAAACCAGGGTTACAAACCAACAATCAGAAAGTAGGATTAGATATGAATAGTTGCTATTCTGCCAGCATAGGCAGACGTTGGGCTAAATGACTTTTTCCAGCGTGAAAAAAGTGTTTTTATTGTGTTTGTACCTGTTCCATCATCCACACGGCTGATACTACACGTCTGAAGCAGGAAGCAGACAGGATGAGTCCAAAAGTTGAGTCAAAAATTGGACGTGGCATCAAAAAAAACTAAAAAAGGGCAGGAAATCAAAGCCACAATTTCCACAGCCAGAAGTGCCCCAACATTTAGATTCACGGGAACTTCACATTGAAATGTAGTTTTTTTTATTGATTCAATCGCAAACTTGAGACTGACCAATTCAATCTCAACACACCAGGCCATCTAACAAAACAGAACTTTCATATTGGTTACAAATGCACATCTCTACATGCAGCTGTTCAAAGCTTCCTACACGCGCAGTTACTCAGGCTCCAACTGGAACACTGACATTGCACATTTGCCTAATATCACAAAATCTTGTTGGGTAGTGACAGATTCTATTTAGAACATCAAAAATTATAATGCAGAATAGACAAGTTGAGAACTTCAACTTGGACTGCCAGCAAACAAGGCTTCCACTGAATTGCCATCTCAGTGTGGTGACCAGTATGCAATTATAATCCATTTTGCAGCATGCTTTAAGAATTTTCCCGGTTTGATTCAAAAACTTCACAACTTCTGGAGTACTTCAACCAGTTCTAAATAGTCAATTAAACAGCATAGCGAGATTTGTAACATGTAATTACTACAAATATTAAAGCAATTCTGGCTGTGAAATCAAAAAAAGAGAGATCAGTGATAATATATGATTCACAGCAATTCACCACACCCAGTATACACACCCTAGTCAAACATAACTACCACAAAATGTAACAAGCCTTTTGCAGTCACTCCCATGCAGTATCCTGAGCATTCAATGAACACACCGATTTGGAATGTTACAGATAACTAAATTTCTAAACAAGCTTTTACAATCGAAGCAAAGAACAAAAGCACCCAAGCGGACAGTAATTGTTCCAACGCAATAAAAAACATGGGATGTTTTGAACAGGTAGACAACATCTTGTAACCAAACGACATTTTGCCATAATTTTAGGACAGGAGATCTAGCAGTGGGAATTCCTACATTGCAAATTTATGCCAATTACAAACCAGCTTGAATTAAAAGTCATTTGCAACTAGTGGCAAGGGAAAGAAACAAACATACCCTTATTCCTTCCTGAATCAGTAATTTTCAATTCTTAACAGAATTACATTGCTGTTGCTAGCAAATGAGTCTACACCATGTTGAAATTAGCAAAGACACAACATTGACCAAAAATCAAGAATCATCTTCAGCTCTTAAAAACTTCAAATTGATCTTAATTTGTTCAAGCATCTGCTATCTAAACTCAAATAACAAAGAAAACTTCAGTCCTTTTTGCCAGTGAACCAACCTTAACATCAGTTCGGCCAGAAAGTATTTTAGTTTCCAATACAATTGGCAAGTCATTTGTCTACAAACGCTAATTGATGATCAAGTGAATGCAGTTTAAAACAGCGAGTTTATGCTGCCTAGTAATGGAAAAGCCTAGTTTTGAAGAACTGCTCCAGATATTTTTTAACCTCCAAGACCTATATGTAGGCTAATGGCATACTGACCTAGAAAACCTATACGGTCTCAGACTGTAAAAGCCTTGACTGCAGTTCCTAGTCAGTTCGTTGGTAAACCTTTTTCTGGTTAAAAAGGTAGCTCAGGATATCAATTTATTTTTGCGCGTGGAGAAGGAGAAAGAACACATTGTTTCAGGCGCAGTTTTATTTCATTTTTGTTTTAAAAAAGACGATTTCAGATCAAAGACACGCCACCCCTTTGTTCGCCTTTCTTACCAGGACTTCTTTGCAGATGTCATTAAGCTCCGTTTCGATTTTTTCCCGGTAACTTTTGGTTAGTTGCAATCGCTTGTCATCGGTGTCGCTCTTCTGCTCCACGCTGGAGATGACCCTCCAGGCCGATCGGCGGGCCCCCACCACATTCTTGTAGGCGACCGACAGCAGGTTCCTCTCCTCGGTCGTCAGCTCGAAGCCGCGCTCAGTCACCGCTTTCATCGCGGCCGCCATGTCTTCATACCTCTCGGCCTGTTCGGCCAGCTTGGCCCTCTGGACATCCTCCTCGTTCACCGGGTTGCTGGCCACCTGATCGGCCGGCTTCTCCTGCTTGGCCTGCTCGGCCGGCTTCGCCTGCTCAGTCTGCTTCTCCTGCTCGGCGTTCTCCATGGCTCTCCGGCTTTTATCGAGCTCCGGGGGTTGGGTAAAGTCGGAGAGGTTGGGGCGGGAGGGGGTGGGGGTGTGGCAAAGAAAAGAGGACTTTCTCTCGGTGCTTTTAACACGAAGCTCGCTACTTTTCTCCCTCTTTCAGTCACTGTTTAAACAAAACAGGAAAAAAAAAACAAATTAAAATGGGTTTTTAAGCAGGAGAGGCAGTTAGAGATATCCTTGACTTTCCCACGGCTACTTTCGTCCCTCCACAACCTATCCTAGCTCTCATTATATGCAAAGTACAGATTAGCAGCAAAGAAAAAGAACATGGAAACGGCGGGCTTAAATTAAAACTCGTCGATTTTAAGACCAGGGGCTTTGTTTTCCAAAGCAGAAGAGCTACCGCCCAGCATAAATTGAAATAACTTGCGTCACTATTTTTAATGTTAACCTCCCTCAGCTCGCAGAGACAGTTGGACGGTTATTTAAAAAGAGAACTAATACCGACCTTCCGTGCGCTCAGCGACTCCTCAAATGCATAAACTCCAGCCGAGGAAGGCGGACAAAAAAAGGAGCGCCCTCCCTCACTCTCCACCTTGACGGCTAGCTCAGGCCCCGCCCCTTCACTCCCCCGCCAGCCTGCCGTAGACAGACAGGCGGCTCGGCCAATGAGACGGGGTGAAAGCGGCGGCGCCGTTTCGGCAGGCGGCCAATCGTCTGCAGGGGCCCGCGCGGATGGGAGCGGGATCCCACCCCTCCCCGCCCATCTCGCTCTGACAGGTCCGGTGGACGGGCAGCCTGAAGCTGAGACTTGGGGCTTCCTCCAATTAGATTCAGTGTGAGATGACGTTCCTGTTGCCATGACGATGGTGAAGGGGCCCGAAATGGGCAGGGTGTGGCTCGAGACATGGCGGTTTGTAGGTGGTGGGGGGAAGGAGGAGGCAGGTCGATGCATGTCAGTGCTTTGAGGATCTGGGGGTCCGAATGGTAACTCACTGAAGCAGCGAGAAAAAGACGCTGGTAGCATGAACCCAAAGCAGAGCAAGGGTGAATAATATTAATGATAAGTCTAGTTACACAATTGCAGCAAAACGAAACAAATGATACCTGAGTTCATTTTAAGGCTGAATGCTGATGTACGCGTGGTTCAGGAAACGATTAAGTTACAGTAGCAATGTTATAGCAAAGATCACATTGAACACATTTAAGAATTCATCTGATGCTGTTAAAAATGCGTACGCTGTTACAATTTGGTAAATTGAATCAACTGGATTTGAAAACATTTAGAAAGAGGTTAAAATTGCCTATATGTGGTGCCTTATTCAGTTTCAGAAATGTGTCGCTCAACACACTCGACAATGACTATAAAGCAACTGCTGTTATGTCGGCAAGCATTGCTGTTCTTCAATGCAGGAAGGTCTCACGAACACCTCTGATATGACCGACAAGAAGGAAGTGCCAGTCAAACCACTGAGCAACTTCCTTGCTCTTCATATGGTGCGATATCTAATAAATAACTACGGCTATTACAAAGGATTTTGGTTTCTCATTCAAAGCACCTCTCTGATAAAGTCGCATGCCATCAGCATTGTACAGAAGTGTAGCAGCCCGTAAGTCTTCATGTGAAATGAAGTAAAAAAGAAGTGACAACGGAGTATTAACATAGGGAAAAAAGCCGAAGGTAGATTTTAAAAAGGTCTACACCGCAGCACAGTGTCGCATCAGAAGAAAAACGGTGGATACTGAGAATATAAATCTTGAGGATTCATTCGAATTGAAGGGTTTTTTTGAGGCAAGAATGGAGGTGATAAAGGGGAGCTGCTTTCTAATTATGACAGAAGTGGAACAGAGAGGTTGGGCATTTACACAATGACACAGGAATGAATGTGAATATTGGTTTGGATGGAGAAAGTCATCCCCCACATCTCTGATTCCACCCACTGCAGAATCAGGTTTGACATCAAGCTGAGATTCTAACTGAATCAGAGATAGTAGGAACTGCAGATGCTGGAGAATCC